CTTACTCATTACTTCATTTGATTTTGCGGTGTACGATACATGAATGATATAGAAAATCAAGCCTCAAACTTTGAAAAAGCTAACGACTTGCTTCCTTCCAAAGCTTGTTGATCTTTCTTTTCCGTTTCTTTCCACGGCCAAACACACGCCTCATTGCTCCCGGGAAGGCCTAGGAAACTTTGTGACAAAAAAGAGGTGACTTTTATGCCCAGTTATTGATCGAAATAGAAGACTTCCCCATCTCGGATTGTTGTTAGAAAAAGTTTTTTTTTCCTTCTAATTTTGGGTTCGAGGAAGATGAAGGAAAAGTTTTGGTTTTCGATTTGCGCGTGGGTTTTGTTGTCGGGGACTTGTTTGGGGAGGTTTGTAGTGGAGAAGAACAGCTTGAAAGTGACTTCGCCTGAGTCGATCAAAGGGGTTTACGAGTGTGCGATTGGGAATTTTGGGGTTCCTCAGTACGGCGGAACCTTGATCGGAACCGTTGTTTATCCTAAAGCCAATCAAGGCGCTTGCAAGTCCTTTGATGATTTCGACATCTCCTTCAAGTCAAAGCCTGGTGGACTTCCCACTTTTCTCCTTGTTGATCGTGGAGGTACGCCTTTTATATCTATGGTTATCCAATTTTGGAAGTATTTCTATTATACTGGTCTTTTTCTTTCTATTTTTGTAATTATGACATTGTTAATTAAGTCGAATTTCGGTTATGTTTTAGTAGTTTTTACACTATTTTAAATCATGCTGGCAGTTGTTAAATTAAGTATTGCCTAAATGTATTGATTTAAGGGTTTATTTTACCTGCTTTATCATCTTTAACTTTGCTGTTGTGGCAGATTGTTTCTTCACCTTGAAGGCATGGAATGCTCAGAAAGCTGGAGCTGCTGCTATTCTTGTTGCTGACAACAAGAATGAACCCTTGATTACCATGGATACCCCTGAAGAAGAGAACGCTAATGCCGAATACCTCCAGAACATCACCATTCCATCAGCCCTCATTAGTAAATCACTTGGGGACAGCCTCAAGAAGGCCATTGGCGGTGAGGAAATGGTTAATATGAATCTCGATTGGCGAGAGTCTCTTCCTCATCCCGATCAGCGAGTCGAGTACGAGTTCTGGACGAACAGCAATGATGAGTGTGGGCCAAAGTGTGACAGTCAGATCGAATTTGTCAAGAACTTCAAAGGAGCTGCTCAAATACTTGAGCAGAAAGGCTTCACTCTGTTTACCCCACATTATATAACTTGGTATTGCCCCGAAGCTTTTATTTTGAGTAAACAGTGCAAGTCGCAGTGTATCAATCATGGTAGATACTGTGCTCCGGATCCTGAGCAAGACTTCAGTAAAGGTTATGATGGTAAAAGATGTGGTGGTTCAAAATCTTCGTCAAGTTTGCCTTTTCAAAGTTGCTAATGAAAGTGGAAGGCCATGGCTTTGGTGGGATTATGTTACTGACTTTGCTATCCGCTGCCCGATGAAGGACCTTAAGTATAACAAAGAGTGTGCAGATAGAATTATCCGATCCACTGGTAGGTTAATGCTTGATACATAATGCTCTTTATCATATACGATTCTTAAAATGTGCCATTCACAATATTGCTGCTGTTATACTGTTCGAGTTTTGATTGATTTTATTTATTTGAAAATGGAGCATAAGAACATTGAATTGGTCTCCTTTTTGGTTGGGATAAGCAATTAGTAGTTTTTTCTTGTAGTTGATTACACATAACAGTCTCTCCTCTATGTTCACTAAAATTAATGAAAATGGATTATTTGTTGCAGTACTAATGAATTTATATATACTTACAATTTATATATAAATTGTATGAAATGTTGATTAGAGATTACTTGAGTCATCTGTTACGTATGGATAAAAAGCAAGTTTATATCTTTACATCCGGCAGGTGTACTTATGTATTTGTCTTTAATTCTCTGCTTTATAGGTGTTGATCTCGATAAAGTCGACAAATGTATTGGTGACACTGAGGCTGATGTGGAGAACCCGGTTCTGAAAGCTGAGCAAGATGCACAGGTCAGCCAATTCTTGATATTCCTACAACCCAATCATTGTCATATCTTGTCATCGAGGTTCTCATTTATGCTGTAATTCTTATTATAGATCGGAAAAGGCTCCCGTGGAGATGTAACCATACTGCCAACTCTTGTGATAAATAACAGACAGTATAGAGGTTCGAATCAGAATTTACCGTCATTACTGGCAATCTGATTGTTTGAATTAACCTTTTTTAATAATATCTCTTCTGATGGATTTAGGGAAGTTGGACAGAGGAGCCGTTCTCAAGGCAATTTGTGCAGGTTTTCAAGAGACCACAGAGCCAGCAGTTTGTTTAACTGAAGGTTATCATCTGCTACTCTTAATTTAGAGGCATTTTCTTCTTGGGGTTTGCATTGAAACATATAAGTTTTCTGGCATTAACCATCACCATTTTATCCCATACTATTTAAGTTATAAATTTTTATTTTTTGGGTAGTGATTATCATTGCGATGATATTCGTTATTTCAATATAAGTTGTCCTTGGCAGATATAGAAACTAATGAGTGCTTAAAAAACAATGGTGGTTGCTGGCAGGACAAGATTGCTAACCTTACCGCATGCAGGGTATGTATGTTACCGGAATTTTTTGTAGGTCAGCTATGTGTTCAATTGAGCCTTTTTTCTGATGCCCCCTTTTTACTTGTAGGATACCTTCCGGGGAAGAGTGTGCGAGTGCCCAACAGTCAACAGTGTGAAGTTTACTGGAGATGGTTATACACATTGTGAAGGTAAATATTTTCATGGAAAATATCAGTCTTCATACCTGAGGGTTATAATCAATGCTAAAAATGAAATTCGCATTTTACAACTCTTGTATGCTTGGTTCTATCTGCTTTTCTGATTAACAGCTTCTGCGGGTTTACGTTGTGAATTCTACAATGGAGGATGTTGGAGAGAAACACGGGAAGGAAGGACATACTCTGCTTGTATAGTGAGTGCCTGTGTCTATCTCTTCTATTGTTTTTCTTTATCTCTCGATCATTTTCCGGGTTTCTTAGTTATTTCGTTCTGGAATGGAATGTTCAGGATGACCATTCACATGGTTGCAAGTGCCCACATGGATTCAGGGGTGATGGCGTCAAGAGCTGTGAAGGTACTAGGATATTTCTACATGGTTTCTTCATATAATATCATCAAGTCATTCTCGATACTGGAAGTAGATGGCTCATTGAGATTTTTGCTTTCTACTTTTAGTCAGTCAGTTTATTTAACATTATGCTCAGTATTTTTGACTAATCTGTCGAACACTTGTGAATGCTTAGCTGCTATTTCTACCATCACATTTGTGTTTTACTTGGACACCATTTCGCTGTGGTATTTTAGTTTCAATTTGTGCTCTAGGAATCTGAAATGCCTCGGTAGGAGTTCGTAAAATCTTGTATCACTTCTAGAGATTTGACTTAGGAGGAACTTTAGTAAAAGCTGAAGTTTTGATGCCTTTTATAGGAAAGGGATGAGTGGAGGTTTTGGCAAGCGTGTAATATACGGATGCTTTTAGCCATCTGATATATTTGTTGGGGCAAAACTTTTAACTCAGAAGTGCTCCCTGTTACAGCTGCGTTGAATAAGTGTTTAAGCTTTATATCATTTTTATCTGGGTTGGTGAACCATTTCTTACACTGGACTGTTTCCCAGATGTTGATGAGTGCAAGGAGAAGCTGGCCTGCCAATGTCCTGGGTGCAAATGCAAAAATATCTGGGGTGGTTATGAGTGCAGCTGTAGTGGTGGTTCGTTGTACATGCGAGAGCATGACATGTGTATCGGTGAGTACCTTCGAGGCCTGCTTTGATAGACACCATTTCCTTTTTCCATTTTTCACTTTGTAGAATAGTCCGTTTTAGATGCAAATCTTTTCATATAATGTGGTAGGGCATGCTCGGTAACAAGTATAAGATTAAGCTGATTGTCCATTGAATTGCTTGATTTGGAGATTTTCGACATATCGACATGATTTTGATTTTATATTCGGATCATAACACCTCTCTATTACGATGTTTGTTTTCAGGTAAGAACGTTAGCACAGAGTTAAGCTGGGAGTCCGTTTGGGTAATAATTCTTGGATTAATTGCCGCTGGAGGTGCAGGATATGCCATTTATAAATACAGAATCCGGGTAAGATTGTTGTTGTGCTAATATCTGATGCTTCCTTCTATCTATTCCCCCGTAGACTACAAGATCACATTTTAGAACCGTTGATGTATTATTGATGAGAGTCATCACTTGGTTGATTTAGACATGAGCAGAACTTCATAACATAAAGGGTACACATGAAATAATGTATCAGTTTTATCAATTAGAACCCATTTTTGAACTGAAATAATAGTTGGACTAGCACTTCTAACATTGTTGTTAACTACATCGCTTGGACTTGGATGTGTTGGACACAAGCGTGTTTGACACGGACCACGGTTTATATTTTTCATATATTTGGAGGGTTATATTCTCCTATAGGTTCGTGTATTTTTCTAGGAACAATGGTGGAACTGACTTCCATTTACTGTTGAACTTGATGCAGAGATACATGGATTCAGAGATTCGGGCTATAATGGCACAATACATGCCATTGGATAATCAACCTGATAACGTTCATCATCCAGATATCTAAAACCAGCGCAAGGAACATGCTTCCAAAAGCCTTAGGGCTAGTTGGCTGCCTATCTTCCCTCTTCTTGTTGGGTTCTACATTACTAGGTTTAACATTTATCAGTCAGTTACTCCCAACTCTTTTAGCTTTTGACATTGTAACACTAAATAATTAAGGTAATGCACATAATTCCAGGTTCACGTGAAATTTTTCTAATTATGAAGGGCAATACATCAATTGTTTTTGCTTTTACATTTATGATTTGTTTGATGATGTTTTTATCACTCTGCATCTTCCATATCAGGCTTCTAAGTTGATTTAAAACATTATGCATGTAATTGCTGAAAAAACAGAGCAAACACATCAGTTTTCTGTACCAGGTTTTAAGCCGGGCTTGTCATTTGGTAGAAGCTTGTATGTGTAGAATGCCACCACCGCACCACTGCACATGAAAGCAAGATTTCAGAGAAGCTGGACTTCGGATAGTGGAATAAAAAGAAAAAAAAGTCCCTTGCAAACTAAAGTTTAGCTAGGAATCCAAATAAAAAAACAATGGAATTGCATCATGTATCTCACAGGAGTTCATGCCAAGAACATTAAAACAATTGCAGGTAAAACTTAAAATTTTCATGCAACAGTCTAACAGCAAGAGAGTACAAACTTTTATAGGACTTCAAGAAGCAAGGTAAAATATCTAACTGTAAGGTGTACTTGGTATCTAAATGCAAGAGGCAAAATTAGTATTCATTCCTTCATTTAGACAAAATAGTTATTTTAGTCTCTATTTTTTTTGAAATATTTTGACCCTCAACGTATTAATTTAGAGGAAAATGTTTCTATTTTGAAATGTTAACCGTTTGTCGATTAATGATTTTCATAAATGAAACGGTTTTTTTCCTTACAATGAAACTTTGGAATTAAAATATTCTAAAAAAATAAAGACTAAGAGTGATTAAATTTTTGTTTTAAAATAAAATATTAAGATAAAAAAAGCTAAAAAGAAAAAATAAAGACAAAAATCACTATTGTCAAATATTTTGACAATATATCTTTCATTTATGCCATAGGTCCACTTTTTTTTTCCAATTTTTGTTATAAAAGGAGAGCAGAATAATTTTTCGGGATTGAGCGAAGACCCAATGCCAATCAGGACTAAAGTGACATCACACACAAGCTTAATTGACAGACTATTATCATCATATAACCATGTTTTAGAGAACCAAGGTTTGTAAACTTATGGTCATCAAATGTCACACCGCGCAGAGTAATTTCCATTTACATATAACAAAGAAATTAAATGTCACAAAAAGATTTATGAACCTGACTAAGGTAGCGATAAAGGTGCCCAGAGTTGTTCTCTGCAAAAAGGACAAGGAAAATAATAATTCAAGAAAAATCAGAAGTTGAGACCAAAATTGGCCGGAATTTAAAACAATACAGAAAAATAAAGGTTATAAACAGAGATAGAATCCCTACCAGAACCAGAGAGCTTAACGCCCTCGAAAACATGACAGATGAGATGACTGCCGAAAAAGTAATCCGGTTAATGAAACATATAATCTTATCCTATTAAGGATGTAAAATATTTCCAAGTTAAGAAATTAAGTAACAACCTGCTTGTCCTTTGGAGGCAAGGGGAGAGGACTCTCCTCTTTTATATGATCTTAAACTTGAGACGCTCAATGCTAAAAGCGCTCCACCTAGAATTACACCGAACCTGATCGCAGAAATTCTCCCCGTCAACATGAAAGAAAGAAATCCCCCAACTGAAAGAATGATACCTGCCAGACCCAGAAATACACAAAAGAAATTTGAAGTTTCTGTTCATGTAATTTAACTATTTCAATCAACATTTTTATGAACACGTTCAGATTTAACAACAATGCATATAGAGTTTCAGGTTGATCCAATAAGCCATCCACTCTGTCGTAACCGATTTTCGCCCGGGCACGAAATTTTTACTTGGTGGAAAAAAAATAAAATATTTTGAGAAAAAAATATTTCGGGAGTCGTCATTACCTTTTTTGGGTAGGTAGGTCAAATACCTAAAAATAATCTCTTAAAATAGATTTTAAGAAAACATAATTTAAAAGATAAACTGATCTGCGTATAACCAAAAAAAATTTAATAAAGAAAGGATTTGTAGTCGATTACGTTTAGAGAATGATTAGCACCCCTATAACTCTCAAAATTGGTACTTATTAATTATAAATTGTCTCTATTATTAGGAATTTAAAAATTTTAAAATATATTTAATTCATAATTCTATTATTTCAAATTTATTAGTATAATTTTAAGAAAATGTTTATAATTTTATAAATAAAATATTTATTTACTTAGAAATATCAGAAAAGAACTTCTAGGTGCTTTAAGACAACCCATTTCTTAATATTAAAAAATATTAATAAGAATATAATAATTTTCCTAAAAAATAATGAAGTAAATATATATATAATTTTATAAGCAAATATTTATTTATTTTTAAAATATCATAATAAGACATCTAGTTGCTTTAAGACTGTCATTTCTTAATATTTAAAAATAAATATTATTAATTTATAAAATTAATCAAATAATATATATTAATATGACTAAAATTAAAGAAATATAAAATGAAGAATAATATGAATAAAACTATATATATATATATATATATATATATATATATATATTTATAAATACAATATTTAATCAAATATATTTTTATATAAATAAAATAATAACAAAATAATAATTAAATTACTAATTTGAACATACTGTAATTTAAAGGATAATAAATTGCAATTAAATAATGACTGAAATAAATAAAATTAAAATAACAGGAATAAAATTAAAGTAACAGGAATAAAATGTAAAATATTAAAATTTATAGCTCTAATTCGAAATATTATAAGTATTAATAGTGTAAATTAGCCATAAATACTAATACGGGATTAAAGTAAATATTAATTAAATTATGAGGGACTAAATAAGGTATTTAATCTAAAATATATATAATTAGGTTAATGACTAAATTATAAGGAATAGAAATGTGAATACCAAATTAAAAGTTCAGAAGTTGATTTCAATGACTAAAATATAAATAAGTAAAATTAAAAAACGAATCAAAATACTTATAAATTTGATTTGGTGACTAAAATGGAAATTTATAAAATCATAAGGATGGCGAAAAGGGTTTTACCATGTGTGAAATTACACATAAGCCCCTCCCCCAAAACGGCGTCATTTGGAAGAGGGTATATAAACCCTTTAACTGGCCCAAGAGAGATAACTTCTCTCATTTTTCTCATTTCAATTCTCTCTCTAGGAGAGAGAAGTTCAAATTTCTCTCTAATCTCTCTTTAATTCCCTCACCGGAGGGAAAAGGGTTCCGACCGACAGCCGTGCTCCGACACCGACCACCACGGTGGCCGGAAAATCCCACAATACATCAAAATAAAGCTCTCACTCTCTTTATTTCGATTTTGAACCCTTTTATTCCTAAAAGTCTCCTATTCGGCCTAGATCTAGTCTTTTACCTTCGGTTTTTGGTGGTTGCACGGCGGTTTGGAGACTCCTACAAGGGTAAGTTGCTCCACTCTCTTCTCTTTTCTTTTATTTTTGATACGGGTTGTTGTGTTTTCTTCTGTTGTTGGTGGTGGTTTTTGTTTCTATCTTTGGTCTCTTTTTTTTTTTTTTATTTTGCAGGTGGTGGTGGCCATTTATAGGCTCGTTAGATGTGGCTCTCAGACCGAACCCAAGAGGTTTCCTAGGTGAGTCACCATAGGGATGGTCGTGGGCTGCCATCTGGTGTTCTGAAGTCTTCTGGCAAGTGTAGCGTGCCAAATGAGTGTCGGCAATGGCGGTGGAGGCAGTGGGGCATTGGACCACTTGGCAAAGACGTGGCGGCTGAAGCTTGAAGGCGACGGCTGGGATAGGGTTATGAAACCCTAACAGAAATGATACAAACCCTAAATAAGTTTGGGTCTTTTTTTAGTCTATCCAGATCTGGGCCTCCATGTTTTGGCTTCAGAATTGATAATTTGGGCTCCAGATTGTGTTTTTATTTATTTTGGGTCTATAATAATAATAATAATAATAATAATAATATATGATGATGATGATGAAAAATTAATGTGTACAGCTGCCCCTCTTTGTTCATTATTATGTTAACAAGAATAGAGCAAAGACGAAAAAGACAATAATTTTTTCATTTGGCTTCTTTTGAGTAGGATGGAAATGTTGAAAACATTCTGTCCAAAGGTCCTATCATCTTGCACTGTAGGTCTTACAGATGACCCTGAGGCTTTAAAAAACATCAAAAAGCTCCCGAAGACTTTTTGAAAACATTATGCACTGTAGGTCTTACAGATGACCCTGAGGCTTTAAAAAAACATCAAAAAGCTCCCAAAGGCTTTTTGAAAACATCATGCACTATAGGGCTTACAGATGACCCTGAGGCTTTAAAATAAAAAAAATCCCGAAGGCTTTTTGAAAACATCATACACTGTAGGTCTTACAAATGACCCTGAGGCTTTATAATAATAAAAAAAAGCTCCCGAAGGCTTTTTGAAAACATCATGCATTGTAGGTCTTACAGATGACCCTGAGGCTTTAAAAAACATCAAAAAGCTCCCAAAAGCTTTTTGAAAACATCATGCATTGTAGGTCTTACAGATGTGGGAAATAATTTAGTAAGAAAGAAACTATGGAAATCGTTTTCTTACTATTCAACAATTTCATTTTTAGAAAAGATTAAATGAGAAATTTTGGAAATCGTTTTCTCATTGAAATAACTTGTTGATTGGGTAACATGCCCCATTTTAAAATAATGCTTCTTATGTGGATTGCGTCCATCTATTCCTCAGATGTTTGCGTGATTCTTGCATTTGAGATTTTGAATTCTGCCTTCTTCTTGTAAGGTATTTTTCATCATGAATCTTCTTGTTCATACGAAGATCTGTAAAACTTCATGTTTGAATGCACTCAGATGTATCAATGTAATGCATTGCACGCAGATGTATCAATGTAATGCATTGTCTATTGTGTAAATGATGTTCTTATGAATGCATGAATGTTGATGCAATCTTCATTTAACTTCAAAGTGGATTCCTTCACTTCATTATTTATTGTCAGGGTTACCTTTGGATATCAGTGTAGCAACTTATGCTATCAAGCTTGTATCTCTGAAGAGCCATCTGATCAACTTGTATCTTTGTGTCTTCTTTGCTTCATGAAAGTCTCAGAATAAATGTTTTATTTATGGAACTCTTACAGTAATCAGAACTATGATATTGTTGCCCCATTTTTATCTTTGATAACATCGGCTTTCTTTGCTTGGACTTGTGTAAAAAATAAAGCGTTCATCTTTGAAAAGAGAATCTATCATCTTTGAAAAGAGAATCTATCATCTTTGAAGAGTGTAGATGTAAATATGTCTGACTCAGCGAGGATTAATTAGGGGAGTAGAGTATGTTCTAATTTGAGTTTTGAAACACGTCACAAGGAGGATTTATCCTAATTCCTTTATGTCTTCACATCTAATCAGATCTCGAACAAGGCAACTTGGACTATATCATGTCGAGATGCTTAACAACAACCTGTCGTTCAACCTTAGTTGGATCCACTAGTTTCTTGTTGTTAAAATTTTTGCTTCCCTTCCGTGGAAAGAAATCTTCATCATATCTCACTTCTGACCTTGGGGTTGAAGAAGTCAAACTTTATTTCAGACCAATAAATGAAAACATCATATGATAGCAACATTGGTTCAACACCATAATAACTGGTTCGTAAAATATGTGACAATACATTCATCATTTCTCGTGACTTCTGCCCGGATTTTCGTAAAGCTTTTGGCAACACATTCATCCTTTTCTGTGGTTTCTGCACAGATTTCTGATCAATGAAGCTCTTTTCATACTATTCAAAGCTTTTGTGTGATGTCACAAGACCACTTGAGAACAAAACTCAGTAGGAATAGAAGTGAGATGTTGATGTGTTTCATGGCCAAAATGTTGGTCAAATTCATAAAATATGCTAGTGTTAAATTGAAAAAGAGATACCAACTGATCTTGATATCATCTTGAGCAAGTGTGATACTGATCACGTTTTCTTTCGTAATGAGTGTTGTAGGAAGTAGAAACATATCAGCTATAAGATCCATGTACAGAAGGAGGTTCATGGAATTCTTACTACTGTAGATGAAACGCACATGATAAACCACATAGATGAAAACTCAGTTCATCCTGACTGGCAATGATAACCCCAGTAACAACGGGAATAAGGGTAATATACGTAAGTTGAGCCTCTTTATTCAATGTCATCAAGTAAACAAAAATTGATGTGAAAAATAGCTTCGTAACCTCAACAGTATGGTTGAAACTAACCGCCATGAATCTCAAATAAATATTTACAATCATCACCGACACACGGAATACAAAATTCAAAGTCGAGATTTTGAGGAACTGAACCCTAGACCGAATGGTCTGCCTGTGGACTATCTTTATTCATACAACCGTGATGTATCTTAACAAAGAACATGTTGTTATATGACACGTGGTTAAGAAGATTGGGTATTTGAAGCCATTCTTGTTGAGTAAATATTTATTCAACAATAGGACCCTAATACAACTGCCTAATGAACGAGGCAATTATGTATAGTCAGCTCTACTGTCATTGTTTCACTATCTTCATTCTTCATATCTTTCTATCTTATTGGAAATATTTTTTCAAACCAATGATCTTTAACACATAATGATATGGGCTTTCAGCATGCCCCAGCATTTACTGATATGAACGTTCAAAATGTTATTATAATTTCTGATTGAAATGGGCTTTCAGCATGCCTC